CTGCCGCAGCGTGGACCCCTCCTCCGTCAGCTCCTGGCGCGGGAACGCCGTCCACAGGGAGAACTCAGACTGACGCAACTGAAAAAATTACATTTTTTTAATTCGATATGAGCATATAAAAACATTTATCAAATTAACCCTTAAGGGTTATAATTGCAAATTAAATATTAAAATAATAAAAAATATAGCCTGCGTTACTCACTAATAACGACTAATTTGTGACCTAAACGGCTTAATAGATTTTGATGTAATTTGGTACAGATGTAAATGTTAGTCTGGAAGAACACACATGCAACTCACTTTGATGTTTTTTTTAACCCACGCGGACGGAGTCGCGGACGAAAGCTAGTCTGTACATAAATGCTTACTTGTAAGTTAGTAGCGACGTATCTGCGCAGCTCCAGCAGCGTGGTGTCGACGTCGAAGTGCGCCGTGTGCGCGTTGCCGTCCGCCATCTTGAACTGCACGCGCGCGCGCGACCCGCCGTCGCCTACAGCTTCAAAATAAATTCCGTTAAATAATTATCAGCTGTACGACTCCCTTCGTTTGTCCCATTTTACTATATAAAAAACTATGTTAAGGGTGACTAGACCATAGTCAACCACACTGGCCTAATTGGGCTGTCTTTAAACATATCTGATTTTTTTGGTAGATGTGCAGATTACATCGCAATATTTATTTTAACCTTAAAAACTTCCATTAAATTATGTATATATCGTCCGTAATTCTAATTGATGTTACAAAAATTCAACTAACTAGTACAACGAAAACTGTAACACCAGCAGGCTTGAAACATCAAGATTTATTATCTCCCTTTCATTCGTGCCGAGCGTGCGAGGGAGAGCGCGGAAAAAGATAGAGAGATACAATCGACGATGATAATAACACGTAAAATTGTTATCTGTAGACTTTACAAACAAATTCTCGTAACAAATTGTAGTTTATAATATGTAATTAATTTACCCGAAATTTTATGGTGTAAGAAAAATATTCAAACGGCATATATCGACAAAGAAATTCAAAGTTATGTGTGAAGACATCCAACCCACAGTGGGTCATGTTTTTAATTATACATGATGTGTTTTAATTGTATTTTTGAATTTGTATTTTGTTTCTTTTTTTTATTGTTTTTAACATAGACGTAAGATGTGATAATTTGTGATATTAGTTGTATGATTTTATTGTAACTTTAACGTTTTAATATTTGCATCCTAAAGTTCCTGACCCAAAGTTAGGGACAACGAGAGGCGGGGCATAGGGCTTCTTATAAAATCAGCAGTGGGTCAGCATGGTTAACTATGGCCTAGTCATCTAACTTAGGGTAGGCTGAGTGGTCAGTGGGGAGGTGTAGGTGACGGTGAATAGTCCACTAACTGGAGGTGGGCGGAGGCTGCGGCTGGGGCTGCGGGGGCTGCGCGGGCTGCGAGGAGTGCGGCGGCTGGTCGCGCGCGCGCCGCTCCGCGCGGTCCTGCGCTATCTGCTCCAATATGCGCTGCCGGGCCAAGTTGTTCTCCAACTTCTCACGCTTGCGCTCCTCCTACACATTTCTTATATTATTTATACCGATAAAGCGAAACAGATTCGTTATATAGAGCTAGCCTACGAAACAGTCCGCGTGGAATTTATGAAAACAAATACAAGTAACCAATAAAAATTCTTGCAGACTATCCACATGCCTATTATGTGTATATATTCTTTGGTACTAGCTATCGCCCCGGACATTGTGCGCGTGGAATTAAAAATAAACAAAAGTGAGTAGCCTGTTCTTCCAGATCATCCTCTACTTCTAGGCCAAATTTCATCGAAATCCGTTCAGCCTGATACAAGCTCTAACAAACATCCATACATCTAAATTTTTAAATTTTAAATATTAGTATGATATGATACATTCGATACTCTTTGATTGTCAAATCATCTTTTGCGAATTTATTACACTATATGCATAAATAAATTACTACTATCGATCCAAAGTTTTGTTTTGGTTTTAAAATAGGTATTTCTTTGTAACAACAAAATGTCCACTGTAACTTATCCATTATCCACAATTTAAAACAAAATGGCGGCTTAGAAAAGAAAATATTCCTTGTTTGTCGTGTCGTTCTTCATGTTTTGTATAAAAATGTTTCCCTAGTAGTTGACTTTCGAAAAAGGCCCACTTTTGTACAACTAATTCTCTTTTCTAAAACTGTCAAAATACCTGTAATTGTTTCAATTCCTGGTCAGCCTGCCATTTCTTGAGTTCAGCGACGCCCTGGCCCACAGCGCGCCGTTCCAACTCCTTCTGCTTCTCCAACTGGAATTACAACATATAACAAAGTTAATAAATATAGCAAATACACAGTATAGTCAAATATTTCCATCAACAGGAATATTACAATTCCACTAGCTGTTGCTCGTGACTTTACCCGCGTGTAATTAAAAAAATAATATAGATACAGCCTATGTTACTCATTGATAACGTAGTTTAGTTTAGAGATTTTATCTTAATAGTTTTAAGTTAGCAATACATACAAAATTATATTCGTTAAATAAATACCTCTTTCTCCTTTTCCAATTTCTCTTTCCTTACAGCCTCTATCAGCTCCTTAGCCCGCTCCACCTTCTCATCAGAGCTGGCCTCACTCACCGGAGTCGGAGCAGGAGTTTCCTGCAGTTCCATAGAGATTATAAATGTATAGAATAGGCATAGTTGACACTTTAAACATTTCTCACATTATCAATAATGCTTTCTGTTAACAGCCTTAAAATCACATGTTAATATAATAAATTTTATTTAAATTAATTGTCAATAGGTGTAATAATATATGTTTATATTTTATTTTATGACACTTTTTGGTTTATTTAAAAAAAAAAGATGGAACTTATCATAATTTTGTTAAACCTCAGTACAAGCACATGAGGCAGCATACTAAACTTGACAACTGACATATTACCTGTCAGAGAAATTACCGATGAAAAAATATTCTATAGTTCTATACTATGCCTAGTCTATACATTTCTTGAATGTCTGTAATGTGCAAAAATGTATATCAACACAAAGCAATCAACAAAACTTTCTAATGCTTAAGTTCTTCGGAAGTTCAACATTTAGCAAAATACTTGCAGGTTTGTTAGCGGGAGTGTCCTTATTGCTGGGTCCGGGTTCCTCCAGCTTGCCTTTAGGCTTCCTCACGCACACGTCGTCATCGCACACCACTTCGTACTCCTGACCTGAACGCGTCACCTCATGAAACTCCGTTCTTGCGATCTTGGCCGCGGGACCCGATGATGTCTCTGGCAATTTTTTTTTAAATAAATGAATATCACATAAATTAAACAAAATAGTAAATTGTCTGCTGCCCCTTGATAATAAGAGATATATTTCCAACCCTTATTCATTAAGAGGACATTTTCCTTTCTCTAGTGTATGTAAAACTAATTCCTTGTTTATTATTAAAAAAACACTTATTAATCAAACCAAAACATACAAAGTGTTATGTTGTTATTTATTCCTATGTTATAGCTTTATCCATATTATATTATAAAAATTCAAATGCACAAACATAGACCTTTGCTTTTGACTAATTATTACCATTAGCATGGCAATTTTGTTTCTTTACTAAAACTACACATCACTGGCTTGTTCTTATACCACATTTTTTTTTTCAATTCATTTCACCACCTATATGTAGGGTTTTTTATTAAAAAAGCTTTATTCAAAATTATGCTGTGATTGCAGACATCTTACATACCAAAGAAGCGTGTGTTTACAGTTTATTATATTAATGTAGAAGTATAGATATAATATAGTAAAGTAATAACAGCAATAAAGTATTATACAGTATAGTATATTGTATAGAAGTATAGTAAGTGTACAAACCATATAACTGAGCAAAGGCCCTATCAGTTCTGCATTGCAGCGCATTGTCAAAATGTTTATATGTTTTTTTTTTCTCTTCAATTTTCTTGTTATTAGTTTTGATTGTTAATGGTTGGTTTTCTTTTTTCTCGTTTGTATTTTTTTTTGTTCTAGTGTATTATGTTGTATTGTGTTGCAATGTGTTTTGGAACTGATTAAATGTGTACTATTATTATTATTAAGTGTTTATTTACCTGGTTCAGCATCAACAGATGATATTGAAGCCGATGCTGTTGTTGGTTTTGCCTCATTACTAGCATTACTAGCTGCTACAGTTGCTTGTTTGTTCTCATTACTAGAGCTACAAGCTGGTTGCATTGCTGGTTTTGTCTCATTACTGGTGGTACTGGCTGTGGTTGGTGGCATCTCATTACCAGGGTTCGAGGTTGGATTTGTCCCAGGGTTACCTGCCTCCGCTTGTATCAGGTTAGCTGTCTGCTGCTTCAAATTCTGTCCAGATGTTGATGGTTGGACCGTGACTTTCTTATCTTTGTCTGTAAATGACATGAATATGCACAACAATGTTTTATGATTACCAATTTCCTTCAAAAACTGTAGCATTTCAAAGTAAATAATCTTACATGCACAATATCCATTTAAAAGTATTTTTTTTT